GTAAATAGCCGTGCGGTTCGGCGGTTGCATCGCGGTAGACTTCCTGTACGAAGCGCGGATTTTCAGGAAACACCTGTCTCGCCAGATGCTGTATCTGCGCTCTGTCGCGCGGATTTTTAAATACAACGATGTAGTTGGCGTTCAACGAGATATCACGCTGCCCGGGCCCCTGATGAAAGAGATTCTGCGTAATGAAGATAACGCTGATGTTCTTATGATGGCTGCTTTTGGTAAAAAGGTCGACCACCGTGTTATTGGACGATTCCCTCATGAGATCGTCGATGATGACGAGTTTCGGGCGTGGATCGTTGCCGTAATCGGTGTTTTGCGGCAGTCCCTCGTGAAACTCTATAGCGCTCCCGTACTCCCGGTACCCCTCCTGCCACTATGCATAGTAAAAGAGAACGCGCGCGAAGCGCACGTCACTCATATCCTCGATGAAGCGTAGGAATTTCTTTACGAAAAACGTCTTCCCGCATCCCGTTGGCCCACAGACCATCGATGTCCACGGATGCTTCCACCGCGTGTCCATTATGCCAAATGAGGTTATTTGGTGGTGCTCTTTACGAATATACTGTTAAAGAGTCTGCTGGATTTTACACACTCCCCCTTCCATCGCGGGGCCTGGCCGCCGCGGGAGCGCGACACGCGTGAGGCTCGTAACGTCGCGGGCGCTTGGTAGCTCTTATCGGTGAGGTTGCTAGCCCCTGGTGCGGGTGAGCTCATCGTGCACCTGTCAGCTAATAGTCGGCATGTATGTGTGTCCGCCGCATAGCTAGCCATAGTGCGCGGCTAGCATATCCGAAGCGTCGCTGAAAAAATAAATAACATGGCCGGGCTGGTGGAACCTTAGGGAATAAATCAATAAAGAGATTTTTTTCAAATAAATATGTTTTATTATTATTATTATTATTGTACGGGAGGTCATATATACATTTATACAGGTTCTGTTTGTACTATTAATGACATAAAACCGTATGGCAGAGATCTGAAACGACCGTCGCGTCGCTGTTTTTGAAGCTCTGTCGGTTTACACGTTTTTGATTCTGCACGTGTCACTACGTCGTGAATCGGGGTACGCCGTATCGCGTCCTAGCGTAGAACGACAGGCTTGCCGGTCCCTCCCGTTACATAAGACCGTATCCAGTTGTAATTAATGACTAGACTCGTCGCGTGGTTGATCGTGATACCTTTGACCTTACAGACCTCAGCGTAAGAACCGTCTGGCTTGCGCACACGAAACGCGTAAAATTTCGGGCCTCCCGAAACAAAAGACGTGATATAGCTACCAGCACCGTACGACTCCAGCTCGTCCGTTAAATCGCCCAAAAGACTACCGAGCGACGGCTCGTAGGTGTTATCGGCATGACGGCCACCCGATACGTATATACACGAGTCGGTGTCGTAATATAGAACGCGT